ACCACTCACAAAATCAAATATTGCTCTGTGATTAGACATGTTCATCACTGATAATGAAGACAAATGGCATTCATTTTATAGAAATATATTAAAACATGAATTTATTCTTCAGGAACACGAGCTCACAAGGAGATAGAAAGCATCCTAAAGTCCAGATATCTCCTGAAAGATGTAGCCAAACTGTCACCTCATGGGCAGACATCATACCTTGAAGGATTTCATAGTGTCATATGTCACTTCGCTCCAAAGTTCTACACTTATGATTACAATGGTATGAAGGCAAGGTATGTACCAACTTACTTTCAAAGAAAACTGTTCAATTGTTTTTTCACTGGATAACAATTAGCCATAACCAGTTTGCCTCACATTTTTGACAGGATTTACTTATTATAGTAACCCACTCAGAGACAATAATAGAGCACACCATGGTCTCGATCCTGCAATCAGAATTTTGAAGTTCTGTTATTGTTAACTACAGCTATATTTTGTGTTTGCCATCATATAAAATAATAATATTGCAACAGGCTGTTGATGTCTGCCCCCCACTTCCATGAGAATGGAACACGACTGAAAGCACACACCAAAACAGGAGAAGAGAAATGGAGTGTCTCATATCATAAGAGCAGAAACTGGGAGGCTACTGCTAAACCTCTCAAAACAAATCCAACATATGGTATGATATTAGTGATATGCAACTTTCATGACATTGTTCAACTTTTCCTATTATACACAGACATAATGCGCAATGATGGACTTTTCTTTTATGACAATGACGACATGTAGCCGGTAATGTATATTTGGTATTTACTTTTCAGAATATATTGGCGAGCTGTTACAGGAGTTGTCATACATTCGAACAGAATTACAAGTTGTGCCCTTGCTGACAACTCCCCTAAATGAACATCAGCCACCCTGCATGACTGAAACTCACGGAAAGAAACGGGAAAAACAAATCGTTGTCAGAAACCATAAAACACGTTTCCATTAAAACAATATTTATTCTAGTGAGAATAAAGAAATCCAGTATATGCATCTGATGGAAATGTTGCACGTATAACATGGACAACACAAGAAGGAATCATCTTGCGATGATTTTTTTCCCAATTTCTGCCAAATCCAGTATGTAAATCTTCTGTAGGCCACATGTCGATAGATTCTGAAAAACATGAATAGGATTTTAAGTACACATACATTGTCTCCATTTCAACATGCTGAACTTTTTTAAAATTTCGAAAAATACAACATCCATTTGGATAAAGAGTATGGGGTTTATGGTTCTAGTTAGTGGGGAGGTTTTTGTGTGTTTCAAGAATGTGTCTGTTTGATAGTGGCATGTCTGATGAGAGGGTGGTGTCACTTTGGTGGAAGAAAATATGGTAGATGACAAGAGGGATAAAATTCATCAATAACTTCATTCATTACACATTTCTAGACTACAATAAACTTTTGAAAAACATCCCTGTCTCATGGAGACATCCTGTCAATAATTCTATTAATGAGACTCAAAATCTGGGTATTAATGACATAGTGTATGAACTTATTACACCTTCTAAAGGTTGTAGAAGGTTCTGTGACAAATTGATTAAAACATGTGAGCTACCTGAGGTGTGTAACAAGTGGGAAAGTATGACTCAGATTGCATTGCCTTGGAGTATTGTTTTTACAAACTGTAGAAAGTGTACTCGGGATGTTAAATTATTGGATTTTCAATTTAGATTCATCCACAGGATTATATATACTAAAAAAGAATTGTTGAAGATGGAATTGATTGACAAAAAATATTTGTACATTTTGCAAATCAGAACCAGAGGATATTATCCATGTTTTTGTATCGTGTGAACATGTACAGATGTTCTGGAGTGAACTAAGGATTTTTATTAAAAACACCTTTAGCACTGACATTGTGCTCTCAGATTTCAAAATCCTATTGGGACTTAACACTGGCTATGATTTTATTAACAACATTATTCTCGCTGGGAAACGATTCATATATATCTCAAGTATAAACAACAGACGGCTGCAAATGTCAGGATTTCTGAAAATAATACAGAATATTGTATTTGTCGAAAAATACATAGCTAAGAAAAACAACAGGCTTAACAAATTTCACAAAAAAAATGGCCTCATAGCTGTATTTCGAACTTTAAAAATCTGCAAGTCTCTGGGCCAATAAATAATCAGCTCCAACATGCATACGACCCATGAGTTGACTGCTAGAGGCTTGCACGCTGTCTTTTTATACTCATCCTTTCACGCTTTGATATTAATAACGCTTCTGTCAGCGATAACCAGGTTTTAACATCATATAAATATCCTATAATAATAATAAGAAGAAGAATAAGAAGAAGAACAATGATAAGAATATTAATTACCTTTAAGCAGGGAACCCATGAGCTTGTCGCTGCAGTCATGTACTCCCCGACTTATGTACCTATACTTTCACACTCTGAAAACTTGTAACTTGTTGTTGCCAAGGTATAACCAGCTCCAAGTGCCTTATCCATGGAGTTTGCTACTGGAGTAGTGTACTCTCTGATTTTGTATACCTATATTATCACACTTTGATAATTTGAACTATTTGTTGCTGATGTATAACCAGCTCTTACATGCCTGTCACCCAGAGAGTCTGTTGCTGGAGGGATGCACTCCCTGACTTTGTGTACCTATATTTTCATACTTCGAAAGTAGTTAACCTGTGTTGCTGATGTATAACTAGCCAGAACATGCCTGTAACCCATGGAATCTGTTGCTTGAGTGGTTCACTCCCTGACTTTATGTACAGATGTTTTCATACTTCGAAATTAGTAATTTTATTGCTGATGTATAACTAGGTAGAACATGCCTGTAACCCTTGAAGTTTGCTGCTGGAGTTGTGCTCTCCCTGACTTTGTATACTTGTAACTATATTCTCTTACTTTGAAAATTTGTAACTCTCTGTTGCCAATATGTAACCAGTCCCAACATGGAGTTGTGTACTCCCCGTCTCTGTATACCTATCTGAAATGAATAAAAATATTTTAAAAAACCAAAAGCCTTCATTCATTACATTAACAACAGGTCAAATTATATTGTACTGTGAAGCATTTCGAGTCGGGGTCACCTCAAATGTTTTATGTTTTTTAACATCTTTAATCCTCGCAAAGACACGAGAGCCTGTGATTATTGTGTAGGGTTGATCTTCCAACTAGGTCTATGTAGCAGTGACATTTCACTTTGTATTATATATTTTGTTTTATTTAAAATGTCAATAAAAAAATCATATAAAAACATTTCTTGGTGGTGTTATAGTATTATTTGTGCTTGTCCTACGTAGGCCAGGTTAATGAATATGCATTGCACGTGCATTTCATGTTTATGGGAATCCTTGTTATAACATGGATGAGTTTGATTGGTTGATTGGATCATCTGCTTCAACATGATTATACCTCGTGGTGTCTTGTGAGTTTCATTGCATTCTGAGAGCTGATACTGTGAGGTCGAGTCAGAGGAGTCACCAGGTTAGTTATATTTGGTTGTAGAATGGTTTCTAAAGTTTTAGGGTATAATATTTCACTAATGCATATAAAATAAAGTTCTAGACTAAAAACGTCTATTAATATTAAATAAGGTTGGCAGTTTGGATATGTAAATATGTTGTGCTAATACGTGATAGGCTGTAAAGTTTTTAATGCCTCAATTGGATTGCTATTCTCAATATTTTCACATAATGTATCTTGCATGGGTGTCGTGCGTGTAGTCCGTGCGCGCTGTGGTGGTGACTGTTGAGAATATGATGTTCGCTTGTGTGTGCTGGTGATGGGTTCAGTGTGATTCATATTAACTTTGTTTTCACTTTATTGTATTAGCATCTAGGCACATGTCACGCATCGACCAGATAGATGTCTAGGAGTAGCTTCGTCTTATAGATGGGTGAGCAAATTTTACAAATAATGTAAGCGTGTAAATATATCATTTTCCTCTGGAAAATGTAACCAATAGGCATAAGTTCTTATTTTACACTCCGTATGGTCATATTTGTGAATTAACTGAAAAGGAAAAATATTTGTTACCAATGTATTTATTTTGTTGAATGTGATGTGCATATTGCTCAATGTGACCATGATTTATATGTGATTCAGTTGTCTCCCTTTTCTTAATCAATTGTTACAAATGAATCTGTGCTAATACCCTTGTGATAAAAAAAACCCCAAACCATTGTGATATTAATATATATAAATGAAATGTTTACAGGGTATTCTTCTTCTACCTCTTCCTGTGATGTAAGGAATAAACAGATTCACACCCTACAGCAAGTCGTTGTTTCTCGGCGTTATAGCTGTTACATCTATTGTGTAGGTCATATTTTCATCCAGTACTACACATCCTCAGAAGGTTTGGTACACCAATCCGGTAGCAATTGTTGCTTGTATACACTTGTTTACTTTCCTGTTTTTTTCTTATATTGCAAAATCCAGCATATCAGGTCATCTCATCTCAACTTACATCCATTTAACTATGTACCAATTACGTGATTTTAATGAGTAATAATATTAAAATAGCCTCTGTTAACTGTAGGGGTCATGCCGAAAAACAGAAACGGAAAGAAATTATGAACATCTGGCGGAAAGGAATTGCTCAGTAATCTGTCTTCAGGATATTCACATTTCCCATCAGTTAGAACCTATTATTAGAAATGAATGGGGCATTCAAATTATTAATACACTAAAACAGTTAAATGAAGGCTCCAGTAACAAAAGCATAGCATGATTTACCTGTATAAGGCTTATGAGGTACTACTTCTTCTCTGGATATACAATATTATGGAAATGGAAAAATATTGCTCTTTTTCAAATCCATACATGGTCTGTATCTTGTTTTAAGAATGCAAATAATAATTTTAGAAATTATAAGCATATTTCGGTATATTACTTGTGTATTGGTTCATCATCACCTATGGGGCCACTGCTGTCAATGAATTCATTGTAGTATGCCTCCATACTATACTTGCTCAGTGATACGTCATGGAGGCCAGGGTGAGAAGTAATGCAGTTGTGAGTTGATGCATCAAGCTTTTCCCTGATTGGAGCAACATCCTGACAACATAGCTCCTCTACTTAAGACTGCATGTGAACGCAGTGACCACAAGTGCACCTGTAACATTATCGAATGAGTAGTAATTTTACTTTGAAAATCAATTGACTTGTATACTCATGACGAAGCTGTTTTTTTCCTGCAGCATAAATTCATATTTGCATTTATATTTATTGGATGTGTGTGTGTGTGTTTCATATCATATCATAACATATTTGAATGAAAAACTTTTTCAACAGTTTCCAAGAGCTACTACAATTTTCTCATTAACAGTCAAAGGTCAGAAAAACTAATAACCATTGATCAATGAATGTACCGGTTTACAAACAAAACATGTCACTGTCAGTGCAGTGTACCCTATTTTCATGTTACTCAGATCAGATGTCGATAACGTGTACTGGATGTAGCAACTTGTTTTTAATCGAGTGATAGTAGATATGGAAAAAATATACATTATATGTAAAATAAAGTTCGTTCACTGTCGTTCTTTGATCCTGGTTTTGGTAAGAAAAAACGTTAAACCGGACAGTTGATGTGCTGCGGTTTCACACACCCGATTTCAAAGAAAGTAATGTAACCACCAAATTATGAAAACACATTGCAGACACAAAGCAACATATACAATGCATACTCTTTATAATCAGACATGGTGTTCACATAATACAAGAGTGTATTTATTTGTCTGATTTGTCAACGTTGTAAACGTATTTCCGGTATTACGTGCCCACGGTAGTGACTGCGTTGGGAAACGAAACCATCAGAACTACGTACGTGTTTGGGGAAGAGAAAGCGAACTTTACTCAAGGAAAACGACAATAATACTGGAATCTAGTGAAAACTGCCTGTGAAGTTTGGACAGGCATTCATATTTGGTGACACTGACACTAGTGACGGGGATGGACCAGGCGAAGAGCAAACGAAGAGTGCTGGTTATCAGGCATAGCAAGCATCACTACAAATAAGTTTATATTTTGAAATGTACGTTATTAAGATAGAAGTAATATTATGATCCTACCACGGTGGTCTCGATGAGTAGGACTCTGCGCTTGACGACACAATGTTTGAAGACAAAAGGTCTTCACTAGGTTCCACATGATCGCATCTCGTCTTTATTTTGAAGTCCGGGAAATTAGCTCTTGTCGGTTCAAAGGAATATGGTTGGACGTTTTCTTGATTCAGTGAAAATACTTCGCTGTCAGACGACGATTCCGAGGCCATGTTGTTTATGACAGTAAACTGGTACTGGATGTCTTTCACGTCAGATTAAGACAAGCTACCAGTTAGAGTGGCACCAATTACGTCATATCTAAGGGGGGTAACTCAGGCCTGTTTCGCTCTGAAATCGAATGCTTCATAACGGCGCACCATTTTCACACGTTTTTTTATGTTCAAACTATTAATATGAAAAAGATGAGTGCACATATCCAAAAATGAATATGTAATAATTCTAAACCTGAATTTTGATTCATCCTCCGTCTGTCCTGTGAGGACAAAGTAACCTCCATATCTAGAGGCCCGAAAGTGTCTTCTGGAGAAACCTCTGGAGCGGGGGGGTTGGAAGGGGTTGATTTTCTGTTTATTTTCTGTTCTTTCCTTTTTGGGGGGTACTGGCGTCTGAAGTTTGGGAAGAAGGCGGTTCAGATGATGTGCCAGGCAGACTGTCTGTTTGGTACCCGGACGTAGACTGGTGACAGTGTCCAGTGACGGCGACTGAGTGAGTGCTGACGTAGATGTATTAGCTTACACAACAGGTTTCTCTGACTTACCCAAGACAATTCCGCCTTACATGCAATAGATGATGTTGCTGCAGAGCGTGTACATGCAGCAGAATAAGTGATATTCTTTGGAGTTGTGGTCTGGTTTGTGAAAAGCTTTTCAGCCTCAAAGCTGGAAATATGCTTTTCACATTTAAATGTCACTGATTTTGGATTCTTTTTGCCTCACAGGGCATGACCTGGAAGAAGCGGGATGCAGGCCATAACAGTTCGTGCATTTATAATCCTTCTCACAGCCAGTATCCTCATGTTGGTCTGCACAATGATGACACACCACTGAGTTACGACAGGATTGAGAACCATGGCCGAACTTTTGACATTTATAACACCAGAGTGGATTGGGGAGATACACCTCCACTCCGATGTTCAAATATCCTGCCTTGATTCATGATGTAATAGTAGAACGAGCAATCGTCATGAGATAGGAATTAGTTTTAACGGTGACACCTTCTCTCTTAACGGTAAAACGTTTTACTGCTATAACAGCTTGTTCTTTTAGCTCTGTAGCAAAATCTTCTTCAGTAATGTCAGAAAGACATCGAGCTCTGCCGCGAACGATGCCGCGACTGCACTTTAAAGGTCTGTGCACAGGCACAGCAAGCTCAATATTTGCAAACGTTTTGATTGACAAAAGATTCAGAAGTACGCATTGGATCAGAAGCGAGCCAATACGAGAACGGGCTACATTCATAACTTCACCCCAAATTCCAGAAACGGCTCTTGAAATCGCAAAGGGATTCAATTTTATAGGCAAATTATCCTTACCTTTAATAACTAGAACTCTAGCCCATGAGTCGGCATTAGTAGAGATATTTCCTATAGTTAGGTCAAGTTCAAGAAAACTGATTCAGCACTCCTGCTCCCCATCCACCACGGAATGTCAATAAGGACAGTGGCATATAGCACCGGATCTCCAAGATGCTGACACCAGGGATACAAGGGTGTTATACTCCAGAGAATATGACATTCAATTTTATAGGCAAATTATCCTTACCTTCAATAACTAGAACTCTAGCCCATGAGTCGGCATTAGTAGAGATATTTCCTGTAGTTAGGTCAAGTTCAAGAAAACTGATTCAGCACTCCTGCTCATCCACCACGGAATGTCAATAAGGACAGTGGCATATAGCACCGGATCTCCAAGATGCTGACACCAGGGATACAAGGGTGTTATACTCCAGAGAATATGACATGAACAGCTGCATTTATCTACCAATTGAATGTCCGACAGGTTCGACCATTGACAAGAAATTGGAGACATACATTATTCCGAGGTCAACATCACCAGATTGGCCTATGAGCCACCGCCTTCTGGCATAGGACTCTAGGCCAACATATACAGTATAATTTGAAGTGCAAGCATCCATTGTCAAAAATGCACAATAATGAACAACAATTGCATAAGAATGTTGTCCTTGCATGGTGTGACCAGCCGATTGATAGAATCGGACATTTCTACCACCCGTCTAGGTGAAGTAAGGGCCGAAGTGGTGTGTTGGGCACAAGGAACACGGTTCCAGGTTCCTATTGCCCTCAACCACCCGACTCCCGTCCTCCATCGACACAGGGGCGCAACCCACGGCAAACGGGTTGCCGAATTCGGTATAAAGACCAGCAATGGGGTGCTGAGGACCCATATGCCCCCGGGTCAAGACGGGGGTTAAAGAGCTATTAGCGTTACCAAGCGCCCACCACGAGGAGGTGGCTCTTCAAGGGTACCGTTAGACTAAAGACCAATAATCAGTTCCAGTGTCCTGAAACGGGTCCCATTAATTATTTTTTTTATAGTTTAACAGTTGGCCATGCCTTATATTTATTATAGTTAGTCTCAACAAATTCAGTCATGGTCACTCTCTACATTATTGGTTTTACTCGATGGCGAAATCTTTGACGTTCTGCAAGTCAGTTCGTTTGGGTAATACATCACATGACTGCAGCTATTTAGCTGCAAACATTTAGTGAAACACTGTAATTTCTCGCATGGCTTCAGCAAGAAGAGTGTCACGGTAACATTGCTGTTCCTGGGTTTCTTTCCCATTGCAGGCACATCCTTGATTATTTCTGCGATGTACATTGAAACCAATGACATGGCAAAACACAAACGTTGCACGTGCGGTACCATCGTGAAACAACCGGGTATAAACAGTTCCATCTATGTTATATGAACACTGTTAGTGGTCCATTGTAAAACTTAATTCCTAATTAAGTCTCCCCAAAGTACTCCATTGTATGATAAGTTTCACGGGCTTACAAAACAACCTTCAGAGATATCGTTATCCGTCTACCAGCCCAACCCTTGCGGATTTATATTGTCCTCCTGAGAGGGTATGTAAGTCCCGAAACACTTAAAGTCAATGTCAACTTACCAGATTCTTTAAACGTAGTATTTTTGTGCTTATCACTTTTGGCTAATTCGACTACAATCGCCAGTAGCTGAAGGGATGGTGTAAATCCAGCTAGGGTCCATTCAGGTAGCAAAAGTAATGTAAGTCCCCATGGTCCCTAGTATGGTGATCTACCTTCAGTTGTTGGCGATCTATAGCCCGTGTTTTAAATTGTATTGTCTTCTTTCAGATTGACATGCTAGTTTTATGTTCATATATGTGACATTCTAGTATTTTTACTGTCCATCGTCGACAGGTTTTACTCTCCAAAGTGTTTTCATTTTTCATTGTATAATTTGTTTTCGTCACGATATGGCTAAGATAGTACCGATGTGACGCTAAATATTAACTCACTCACTCACTTGCGGATTAATATATAATCAGTTGATACCAGCAACAGTTTGCATTCCAAAGTTCCCAAATCAGTGGACATTGATTGATCGCGGAACATATGGTTTTAAATTATCTATTAGAGGTATATTTAAGTAGGCTTAAAGGAGAATACGAACAAAAACAAAACTTTTGATATATTGTAAAGGATATTCTAAAATTCACATTCCTTGTTAAGAATTGAACAATACGTTTGTAAAATAGTAATAAAAACACAAAAACGTACTCGTGTTTCCGCCTAGTACGAAAACATCCGACAGTTAATGAGCAGAGGGGGTAGCACGTCACAGGACGTCATAAGTGCCTGTTGCTGATGGCTTCCTCTTTGATTTTACCTCACAACTTAACAGTGTCCGTGGATTCTGAAGCAGTAAAAGATGTTCCTGATGTCAT